TTCCTCCTTTTGTTTGTTTTTTAATAAAATTTTTATTTTAATTGCCATTTTAACAAAAGTTTATAGAAAAGTTAGATTTTCATTCATTCATTTTTGTACATTTTACCTCCTCTCCTTCCCTTCCCCCTTCCCAAGTTGACTTTTTTTCCCTTTTCATTAGTTTATTTACAAAATTCTAATACAAATTTGAACAAATTATTTCAATTTACCTCATCCTCACCCATCAAACTGTACAACCCAATGATTAATCCCCTTTCCCCCCTGTATATCCACATCCCTCTGCTTCCAGGCTCTCCCACCTCTCCTGGATCCTTATATTCATTCTAAAATAACAGTCTTATACAATAGTTATCCTTGTGGGACTGAGTTAGTTCACTCAGCATTATGCTATCTAGTCCCTCCCAAGTTAGGTAATGATTTACAAAGTTATTATTCCTGCTTGCTGCATAGTATTCCATTGTGTGATTGTACCATAATTTCTCAATCCATTCATTTGAGGTTGGACATCTGGGTTGTTTCCATGTTCTTGTGATGAACATTGGTATACAAATCTCAGTTTGTGCCTCAGTTCTCACATTCTCAGGGGATATCTTATTAATCAATATTAAATGCAAACCATATGTTACTTTATTTATAGGTGCTTTTGGAGCAAGAGTTAGAGATTATTTTCTGTTTGTTGGTTGTTGTTGTTGATTGCCACTGAGTTGATGATAACTTATAGCAACCCTATGAACAAAAGACCTAAAGCCTTTCTATAACTATAGTCATTTCTCCAAGTTCATAGAGTTTACATAGGCATGTGGTTTAATAGATAAAAATTTTGAAGATCAACAAACTTGATTAGTTTACATATATTGATTCATGTAATATCTGACTGGACTCATATTTAAACTAGCATTCAGATGTCAAAATTACTTTTATTGTACTAGAGTGTCCCACAGTCAATACAAATCTCTTTCCTTCTGCTCACAAGTTATAAACTTTCCATTTTTTTTCTTTTTTAAGCTATTATTAATTATCAAATGCTGCTTATTAATTAACTGGGCCAGTGTTTATACAACAAATATTTGTCTCTTTTCTGTGCCATAACTTCTTGATGTCAAGTCGGAATCAATTCATAGCTTATTCTCCACTGAGGTCTGAGATTGTAAATTGCATAAGAGGAGACTGCTTATCTTTCTCCTGCTGAAGCACTGATAGATTTGAACCACCAACGAGGTGCAGCTTAGCAATACAATTATGTATGTATGAACTATATAATCTGGGCTCCCTTTTTCTACTCCATGCAATCTAAAAACAAAAAGCCATGCTGTGTCCATCAATTTATTCCTTGCTATAAAGAGTATTTCTTTCAGTGGTAAGTATTCAATAAAATATAGTCTGATAAATGAAATAATTAATTGATAACTAATTAATTCTGAATGTTTTTCCTATTTAAAGTCACAAGAGTTTTCCTTCTATTATCTGTGCTAACAAACACTAATAATGTCATATATATATATATATATATCAGATAAAGTTTTGCACATAAGAAATATCCAGCTTTAGTTTGCTTCAGAAGAATACAAATAAGATGCAAACAAAAGATGTCCATGCTTTATTAAAAGTCACCACTGTCTTGGCGTTTTAACCCCAAAACTCTTATATTTATTCCTAGCCAGGAAAAATTTCGACTTTAGGGAATCCCAAATAAATTTAGTGCCATAACACTAGGGAATTCTCAAAAATTTCTTTACAACTTCAAAAGATTTGATTAGAATTCTGAACATGCACATTTCTCTGAATTCAAAGCTGGTCTTAATGCTTTGCCAGCAGGAGAAATTGGCAAATGAGAGGAATTAGTTGACCCTCTGCATAAGGATGTGGGTAGATGCATCATAGGACTGCTCCTGAATCTGCAGTTGTCAATTTCTGCATCACTAGGGTGTATTTTTTGCACCCAGCAGCTGCTTCTTGATTGAGTGTGCCTCTGGGCTTTTCTATACATAGCAATACACCCTACTGCAGTGAGATAAGTCATGCAAAACTTTCATACCCAAGAGAGTCAGGGGGGGCTACAGAGACAGCATCCTGTTCTGGAAATACTTATGAGTATTATTTTATTTGTTCTGTCATTGTAAATATTCACAAAAATACATACCAATTCAGAGGTTTCCACATGTACAATTCAGTGACCCTGATTATATTCTTTAGATTGTGCAACCATTCTCAGTTTCTTTTTCTGAGTTGTTCCTTTCTCAGCCACATACGTTGTTACTGTGTAAGATTTCTATCTAATCCTTTTAGCTTCTGTATATTAGTTGATCTCACATATACAGTTCTTCAAAGAGCATCGTGCTCAAAGCAGACGTGTTTTCCTAGTTAAATTCCATCTTAAGAATTTAGAGGATACTTCTGGTTTGAATTTTAAAGATTATATCTCAGGGCAGTAATCTCAAGGTTTCATCCATTCTATTTCTAAGAAGTCTGCAGTCCTTGAGCATTTGAAATTTTCTTCTGTGTTTTCTTTCTTTGGATCAGGATTATATAAAAATGTCTTGAATGTGCACCATAATGAATTAACATAGAAATGATCATTTTGTGATTCTTATGAGAAGTTTGTTTTCCAATGATGATATTTTCTAATCTATTATGGCCTCAAGGAGCTCTGTCTGGATCCATAGTCTCTATGATGGCATTTTGTTGCACTGACAGCCGAAAGACCACCTGTGTTTAAAGGCCACCTGTGTTTAGTCTACTAGCAGCCTTGCAGGAGAGAGTTGGGCAGTAGCTACTTATTACCACCCTGGGAACCCCAGTGGAGCATCACTATGAGTCAGGATTGACTTGAGAGTCAGGTGGGTTGCTTTTGGTTTTGGTTTGCTTGTTTTGTTTTTTCAGTGACTGGGATAATCGCACTGTCAGAGACAGTGCGATTCGCACAGGACAGAGCGGAGTTTAGGGCTGTTGTACATAGGGTCGCTATGAGTCGCAAGCGACTCGACGGCACATAACAACAACAACATCACCTTGGTATTGAACTAGTTTTACCACTACTGTTTATCATCAAATATCTTCAAACACATCTTTTTTTTCAGACTCAGTAAGGGACTTGGGACAAAGTTGTAGGAGCTGCTAGCTGGAAACACCGTTATCTTAGACAGTATTTGACGAAAATTGAAAATAGTTTGCCGTCTAGTTGTATATCAGAACTTTTTAAGTAAATGCAACATAGAATACAGACTGGACTGCTTTTACAGACATTTAGGGTTTACTCACTAAAGTTTAATCTACTGATCTTGTGATTCTTTGCACTTGTACAGTAACAAGCAGGAATTTAATCAGCCACAGTAGCTCCAACAATGTGACTTAACTCTTCTCTTGGTGCTGGAGAGTGGTGGCTGGAGCGTTGCAAGATTTGATGTTACTGTAAGTTTATAGAAAAGACTTAGAATCAAATTCTGTCAGTAATTGAAGAGAAAATTGTAATTGATCAACTGGTGAGGGTAACATACATATACAAAGCCCAGAGGTATTTATTTTTGTTGCTGAAAAATGACATTGTGATATGGTACAGCTTTATTTTCTTCCATTCTCTGTTTTGAAGAACTGAGCTTTGTGGAGAGGTGAGGATATTCATAGCTCCCCTCAAATGCTAATTGAGGAAAAAAGCTTAAATTCTTTTTTTGAGATTGATGCTTAGCCTTTTATGCAGCCATCTACATAATAAAACTACTGGTATAGGTCTTTTATTATTTTTTATTTGGCTTCAATTTTAGAGTACATGGGTTTATCAGAGATAGGTAAAAATTATATCCTAAGTGGTTATTTCCCACGATATTACTGTTAATGGAGTCCCTATTTTAAGAGGGCAACTCTGCATAATATTTCTACGAGAGGCTGTATTATTGGAAAGTGATAGAATCACAACTGAATTAGCTTTGTGATCTCAGATAAGTAGAAAGTAATAAAGTTTATATTCTAATTATAAGCACATAGTTCTTTTTGTTATTTTCACAAAGAAAAATCATTTTGAATTCTCTGTGTGTGTGTGTGTGTACGTATTCCACAATTTGTCTTATTTGGTCTGTCTTTGGTTTTATTCTCATTGAGCCTAGTTTCCATGGTTACCATCCCATACAGCTTATATGTGAAGTTCTCTTTTGACGTACATTTATTTCTATGGAAACAGTGATGTCATTGATACGGTTCAGTGCTTAGGGAAAGAATAATGAAGAAGTGTTGAATGGTGAGCTTTCCTTTGGCCATTAAATATATCATTCATTAGATAATTGATTTTTGCTTTCATTTTGACTTGATTGTGAAGCTACTCAGCCCACTATGATTATACTATGTTTACAGTACTTCTTAACTGACTTTAACTGTTGAATATACTGTGTAACATCTTGTCATAATATATGGTAGGCATAAAAATCTTCATAGATACATTTAACATTAAAAGAGTTATTACTCTAACTTTAAAGGCCTGTTAGAGAGTGAGACTGTTTATCACTGTAACAATTGTGGTAATGAGATGCTACTGAGCAATGGATTTTACATTCACATCATGACAGTGAGCAATGCAGAGATGGTGGATCCAGGGAGGAAAAAAGCACCATTTAGAATCATTATTCTTGATGATCTAGTTTTAGAAATACAAGGGAATAATAGGTAACACATAACTACTAAAATATCTTTCCTGTAGTATTAAATCCTTGAATAATTGGTATCCTATTTAAAAAAAAAAATTAAAGACATAAAAAAATTATTTTCCTCTGTGTTCTGCTTCTATGTTACAGCAGTTTAATGTTTCATTTGGGGTTTTTTTAAAATTACTAGAATTATTTTACTAGTTTATTTATGAAATTTGAATACATTGCTTTCCAGAGCAGATTCTTGCAATTTCCCTCCCCCCCCTACCCATCAAACTGGACAGCCCCATGATGAATCCCTCCCCGCTTGGATTCTTATACTTATTCTATAATAATGATTTTGTTTGATTTGGTTTGTATTCTGTACAGATGATGTGGAAACCGGCCTATGATTTTCTATATACTTGGGGTGCTCACTACGGAAATAGCCACAAAGACGTGTTACAAGACCTTCAATCCGCTTTGGACAGAATGAAAAATCCTGTGACCAAGCAGTGGCGTGAATTAACTGGAGCTTTAATCCTAGTAAATTCTTTAGAAGCCTTGAGAGCAACTGCATTCACGACTTCTGAGGAAGTATAGAGAGGAAGATGCATATTTTGAGAGACAGGGAGGATAGGAAGAAAATGGTACATGTGTGTGCATGTGTGTATTTGAGAAAGGGACAATCTTAGAAAAATCACACTTAGTTTTACATTTTTGAAAACAATTTTTTCTCCTGGTGGAAATACAACCTAAAAAAAAATTAAGTGTATTTTATAACAACAATGGCAACAACAAATGTTTTGTGAATGTTTCCAATGTAAATGTGAGGCCATTTTTGTTTATTTTTGTAGTGGCGTGAGAGGGGGGAAAACCAAATTCTCTTTTTAAATATTTACTTTTATTTTCCTTGATTTTAAGCCATATGCTTATTATAAGAATTATATTGTACAAGTGGTACAGATAAACTCACTGACAGTTATTATGTTGGTTCCAACTCATAGCTAATGTCTATTGAATTTCTGAGGCTGTAAATTAAATTGGGGAAAGACTGTCCATATTTTCCCCATGGAGATACTAGTAGATTTGACCTGCCAGAGCCCCCCAGCCTTTGAGTTAACATGCTATGAAACCACAAGAACCCCAATCTCCAGGTAAAGAAAAGCTTTCAAAATGAACTGGAGTTTTCCCAGAAGCAGCTATGGCGCAGAAGATAGTAAACACCCACTGTGACCAGCTTTCTTATATTAATCCTGTGCCTGGTATAATTTCTTTGTTGGCAGAGTTTCTCAGCATTATCCCCATTTTTCATGTAAATAAACACATAAGGCAGGAGAGGAGGCCTAACATTTCCTATTAAGTAGATTTTTGGTCTGCAAAACATCATTATAGTTTGTGCATGTTTAAATGGAACTGTTGTTGCGTACTGTACAGTCAGAACCGACCCATAGCTGACCCTCTGGCAGGTTTTCAGAGGTAGTTAATCGCATGAGAAGAGAATGCCCTGCCCTCTCTTGTGGAGCAGCTGATTACCTCAAACCATGTGCTTTTGGGATTGCAGTGCCTCTTCTTGCCACTAGGCCACCAGAGTTCCCTTTTAGTTAAACTGTGTAGGTTAATAGTAAATAAATTCAAACACAAACAACAGAAGGGTTTCATTTACATTATACCTTAGAATAGGCTGAATTGTTTTGCAAACATTAAAAAATAATTCTTATATATTTTAACTAGTTTATTTACAAACTTCGAATGCATTGTTTTTCAGACTCGATTCTTCCAGTTTCCCTCACCCCCTAT